AGAAGAAGATATATATATATATATATATATATATATATATATATGTGTGTGTGTGTATTTTTAAGGCCGCGCTTGATCCGCGTATAAAGCAGCAAGCAAAGCAAGATGAGTGCTTTTCCAGTGTGGAAGAAGACGAGCTTCTCATCACAATGCCAGTAATATGTTGACGTATTCCTTTTTCCGACGCTTTCTACAACTCTACAGAGTTTCCACAGGCGCCAAAACGCCGCTTGCAAACACTTCTGTAAAAACAAAAAAAGAAGCCGCCCTTTCCCCGCCAACAGGGCGCGAAAAACACGCAACGCCGTTCTCATTTCACTTGTTTGTTCCTTCGAACTTATTTCGCTACTCGCCAAGAAGCCACAGCGTCCACTGCTCCTAAAGTAATTGTCTTTCCTCGCTTTGCTGTTGCACCGCTGTAAAGCCTTCACAACTGTCCGTTTCCGCTGCATGTGTTGGGTGTGTTCGAGAGCGTGAACGGGTGTGCAGATGTTTCATGCCGAGCTTCAGCCTTGTGGCATTTTTGTCGTCACCCAGAATCCGCTTCGCTTCTGAAACGCACCCTCTTCCACGTTCCGCTCCCACACGAGTCGAGTGCGATCGTAGGCGGCAAGACGCACCATAAAACGCGTCGTCTGCTCCCACTCCGACGGCGCCGCGCTCGCCAGCGGCGCAGCAGCGGCGGTGGCCGTGCTTTCCGGCTTTTCTTGTCGGCTTGCGTTTCCTTCTTCCTCCTCGGCCTCCTCCTCCGCATCCGCCTCCTCTCGGCGACCGGCCGCACCGCCTTCGGAGCTCTTCGCGGCTTGTTTGATCATCAAAGCGTCGCGACGGCGGATCGCATCTTCGAAGGCGACCCCCAGGTGCTCCGTGATTGAGTGCGACACACGCAGTATCGCCTTGCGAAGGTCGTCCTCGCTGGCGGTCTGCAACACCGGCTGCATGAAGCGCAGGTACGTGGTGAGGCAGTGCACCTCCGCCGCGGCGTCGTAGTGGTGGTCGAGCTCGTCGTCGCCGAGGATGAGGTGGTTGAAGTGTACCTGCTCCCGCACCTTGGCATTGAAAAAGAAAAACTGGTTCTCCACCTGGGCCACGTTGTATGCTTTTTGAAAGGCGCCTTGCGGAACCACAAGACGGCCTTCTGTGCTGGTGGGCCGGGTCCAGATGGGTAAGAGCATGTCCCCGCGTAGGTAGGGCACCGTGCCGTCCTCGCGAATCAGTCGTGTCTCCTTCACCTGCCCCTGGCCACCAAACGCGGTCGACTTGCTTGTGTACGGGAGGCGGAACTTCAGCATACTGTAGACACCGTGTAGGATGTTCGTCCAGCACTCCTGCGCCCGCATGTTCTCCGCCACGTGATCTTCGAAGTTGGGCAGCGCCACACTGCCGGAGCGGATGTCGGACACAAACAACAGCGGCTTGTTCCGCTCAAGACCCACCTGGGCCAGCAGCTCCAGCCCTTTCGGCAACGACAGCGGCGGCTCGTACATGGCGGGGATATCCTCCGTGCCACGCGCCACATCGAGCGTGCCAACGATGCCCTGCAGCTTCTCGTGAATCGCCTTCTTCTCCTCTCGCACGCTCTCGATGGCGATGTGGCGATACACAAACCCAAGCGCCGGGAGCACTTCCTCTAGCCGACGCGCGTTGATGTCGTAGGCGGTGGCGTTGGTGAAGAACTCGTTGCGCAGCCAAAAGTTCGTGCGCGGCTCCAGCACTGGACGATCAAACTGGCCGGGGTCAATCAGCTCCCACGTGTGGCGGCACGCAAACATTTCGTCGAGGAAGGCGAGGTGGGTGCCCGGGGCTGAGCCTGCGTAGACAATGTGGTAGGACACATCTGGCTTGCAGTACATGCACAACAGCTGGATTTCCGAGAGGAGCAACTTGCGCTGTCCCCAATGAATAGCGCTTTTGATGTCGGAGTTGCGCGACCGGTACTGCTCCGCCGGAAAGTCGTCATCGAGCAACACTGGGAAAGGTAGCGTGGAGGGGTAATGATAGACTTTACGATTCGTTAGCTTGCCTCTGGTCAACTCCGCAGTGGAAGAGGAGAGCGCGGAGGTGTACAAGTCGTTCAGCAGCTCTTGTCGCTGCCGCTTTCGCTTCTGGTAGCTACCGCCGCCCATTGCTGTGCGGACAACTCGAAAACCCCAAACGGGACAAGAACAGCAAAAAAAAAAAATAAAGGGTGAAAAGTCAAACGCCAAGGTAAGAGAAGATGCAGCAAGAAGAGAGCGACGAACTCAACGCAGCAGTGGAAGGTGCCTTTTTAGAGGATCGGAAGCAGCGTGAAAACGACGTGTTGTCCAAAGCTGCCACAGCGCGCTTCTAAACTCCACATTGACGGTCAACGTAAATTTCGAGTGGGACTCTTTACCCTGACGCTTTGAAACTGAGTTAAGGGCATTAAGTAGTAGTAGTTCGTTTTTTGTTATCCGTTTTGCGGCTTTCTTACTTTTCTTTGCTGAACCCGTCGCTCATAACGGGCAGGAAGCAAACGACAAAAAAAAAACCATGAACCGGTTACTCGTGAACTTAGGCGGATCCCTTTCAAGGAGCATGTTGATGAATAATTGTAAGGATGTGTGCCTGGCCGCAAAAGCTTTTTGTTTTCAGAAAAAAAAGCCGCGCGCGTACTCAAAATACATGGTGGAAATATGATTTTCACCACTCCAACGTAGAGCTGCCTGCGTAATCCTGGAGGACCTTCACCATCTCCCGCACAGCCTTTCCCTCCGTCTTGGACAGCGCCGGGTGTCGCGCCGCTCGTCGGCCAGACGCCACGCAGCACCGCACCAACTCCTTCAGCTCCTCCTCTGCGAAGCTGCCGTCTTCGCCCCCTGAGTCATCGCCTTTGTTGGGGTTGGCCAGCTGTTGCGTTACAGTCTGCAGAGTTCCTCGCAGTTTACTCAAGTAGCGTCCCACGACGGAGGAAGACGAAGACGAGGGGGAAAGCGACGGGGCACTGGTATGGGTAGAAATAGGAGTGGGGAGAGAAGCACTCGCCTGCATGCTGATTGACCCTGCACCGATGTTCGCAGCGTCGTCCGTCGACACCACGGTACCTTGCACAGCGGGCAGCAGGGAGTGATGCCACTGTGCGCGGGTTGGCACGGGGGTTGAGCTGTATAGGCATAGATACGCATCCGCCACGCGCACCAGCACTTCTGCGTGATGAAGCTCGTTGTCTGCATTAGCAGCAGAGGCAGTATTCGCAGGCGGCAGCGTCGACGAGGCAGTCGCCGCTGTCGCCGTATTCTCGAGGGCGGTGCCCTGCGGGGTGTTCACCAACTCTGTTCGCATAATAACACGACTGATTCCTTCAACGGCGGCCAGGACGACGCCTACGGACTCGCCACGCAGACGTCCTTCCTTGGCGATGTCTTTGAAGAAAAGGTGTTGGTCCGCAAGGTCTGTCCAGCACTGGGACATCATGCGACCTTTCAGCACGTCATCGCGCTTTGAGCGCACAAGGTCGTCAAAGCTTGGTCCGTCGTCTACGTCAAAGTCAAGCGCCATTCGTCTCTGTGATTGTGAACACCTCGGTTTAAAGCGATGTGGTTATGGGGAAAAAAAAACACCTTTTGAAGTTTTTCTTTGGCAGAGCTTCTCCTACCAGGCACTCATCAACGAGGCGGCAATATATAAGACAAAGAAGAACGGAGGAAAAGGGTCGTGAATGATGAAGCAGCGTAATCGTCAAGAGAACAAACTGCCGACTTTCTCTCGTTCCACAATTTGAGAAGAAGCTCCAATTGTGCCAGTTCAAAGGAGAAAAAGGGTAGTGCTTCGTCTTCGCTTCCGACAGGGTAAAAAAAGACGTTTTTTTTTTACTTATTGAGCGGCCGATACTTCCAACGATGTGGCGCGGTGAATAATTATCCTACTTTCATCGATGCCGTTAGAGAGTCGTGCTGCCTTTCTTGACTCCCCGGCTGCCAGAGCCTGAGATCCGCAGAAGCAGGCCTAATTAATAGCGGGAATAAAGAAGACTGAAAGCGCATTACTGTTTTCCTCTTGCACTGTACCGGCTGCTGCCGTTTTCTCTTTCACTATGTTCGTACTTTTTCATAAGGTAGCAACAAATCAACAAAGGAAAAGGTTTGTTTAACCAAGAAAGAGAGACATGAAGAACACACATCCAATTTGGCCCCGCTTCCGTACGAATCACACAAGCATAAAGACCATTCCTCTTTCTCATTTCTCCTACAATGAACCTTGACGGGTGCGTAAAGGAAGAAAAAAGAATGTGCGGCAAACGCAGCGCATCATTCAAACACCCGAGGTTAGAAGAAGTTGTCGGGAAGCAACGTGACGGTAACAAGAAAAAAAAGGGGTTCATTTGTGCTCGCCAGAGCAGTAATAGAGGAGGAGGTTGATACTAGTTTCGCTTTTCAATTGCAATTGAATGAGAAAAACGTCGGTTTGCATCCACAGCAAAGCAGCAAGACTATCACGCAAAAAAAAAAGGATCAGCAATCACTCCGCTTTGAGAAGCGTCGCCACAGCACGTAACGCCCGGTCGCCGTACCAGCGATGTACGCACAAGAACGCAGCCCCGCTCACCGCGCACACGGCACCGATCGTAAAGTACATCCAGGCCATAAAACTGTTGTTCCCGCCCAGCCACGACAGCGTGGCTAACGAAAAACTCTTCTTCCCTCCAAAGCTCGCCGCGTCGAAGTGCTCGCCAACGCGCATGACGTAGGTGCCGATAGGGAGGTCCACGTCAATGACGCGGTAGAGCTTGCGAAACTTTGGCAATGACGCGGTCCGCGCCCACACCATTAAGTCTTCATCCGTTGTGACAGGGATGCGGTGACCCGGCTCGTTGGCGTACCAGCCGTTGTTGAAGAACTCGTTGTCGGAGCGGGTGTCCGGCGACGGCTGCGGGATCGCGTCGCCGTCCGGTGCGTCGTAGGCGGCGCGCGGCGCACTCCAGATCGGGTGTGCCGCGCTCGCCGGGGGAAAGTGCGGTTTTTTGTACTTGTTCTCCACATCGCTGGTCCAGGCGATCCCCTTCTTGTGGCAGCTGCCCGCGCCGTCGAGGGGCTTGTTCGTGAAGCGCGAAAAGGCGCTGCCGTTGCAGAGAAGTCGCAGCGACGCCATGTTGCTAGGGGACTCGAGCTTGAACAGCGCAAAGGTGTCGTTGAACATGGACCACGGAATGAGGCCTGCCGGGGTGTAGACAACGTCCTTGAAAGTGTACGGTTTTTGGTCGATCGTGATGGATCGGTTGCCCTCGTGGCGAATCTCTCCCGGGTACGTCAGCGGCGACGTCAGCGACGCGATGGACTTCGGTGTCACGTGTCTGCCTGCGAGTTGCACGTCGCTCTTCGAGTTGGTGAAGCGCCGGTGATTTTGAAAAAAGTTCTCGAGGCCGTAGTACAGGTACACCGGCTTATTGAGCCGCTTGCTAATGCGGAACTGAATGTCCTTAACGCAGCCCGTCTGCCACACCTCTCCTGTCGTCGTCGCGTAGCGGAAGGCGCCGGTGGAGTTGTACGCGAAGGAGCATGGTGTGGCGTCGTCATAATGCACCGTGATGTCCACGGCGGACGCGTTGGCTTGAAAGAGAGACAAGCTCAATGGAATGCACATGATTGCTACGGCGAAGAGGCAGAGGGCCGAGTTCAAGGGAGTCAGAATTGGCTGCCATGCCGGCAGTCGCTGTTGCTTGAAGAGCGTCCAGATAGACTGCCGCTGCGAGTTCGGTTGGCTTGGCATTTTCCTTCGCTCCAGAGGGAAACGCGGCTAGGGAGGAAAAAAAAGGTTTTCAAAATACAAAGCAAAACAACACAAAGAATCACTCGTCTATGAAAAGGGATAACAAAAGATATCTCACGCGACTAGACAGCCCTTGAGAGAGAGCGCGCTGTTTTATGGGAACGTTAGCTAACCAGACGAAAACAACTTGCGATTCGTATACCACAGTCGTTTTTCCCTTTCCTGTGCGTAGAACGCAATGAAAAGAGTGGAGAACAAAACGGTGTTGCTGCAAGAGGGAGGGGGAAAAAAGATAGAGAGAGACGAGGAGATGAGCGTTCAAGGAAGAGAAAACTCGAGCAGAAAGACGAGAGAAGAGAACCCTGTTGTTCTACAAGTTTGTTGGTCGACACCCTTTAAGCCGCGTTCACCTGCAAATATCCCTACTAACAAGCAGCGTCTTGTGATATGTAAACAAAAAGGAAGCTGCTGCTCTTTTTGGCTTTTTTTCACAGAGCTCCAAAACAGGAGAGTTCGCCTGCGAAAGACTCTTGCAGAATAAAAAGAAAAAAGATGTGATGTACACAAACGCTATTTTTAAAAAACTATTTTGTGTGGCTGCTCTGACAACACGCGCGCTGCTGCTGCTCTGTGAACGGCTCTTTCCAGAAAATCAAAAGCTGCCTTTTCCTTTCTATCTCTGCGAGACTGAAGAGCACCATTAGTAACGAGGTCGGCGGTTGTTTGTCGAGTGCTTACGTGCACCGCTCTTGGCCAACTCCTTCTCCTGATGCCTCGTATACTTCTCCAGCAGCTTCTCCTCCCACTCCCCGACGAAGCGGAAAGGGATCAGGAAATCGCGACGGCCGCGCACGTTTTGCAGCTCCCGGGTGGCCCGCTCATCCAGCTGCGTCTCTTGCTGGGTCAGCGACGCATCCGAGAGCACCGCCACCTTTTCTGGGTACAAGCACAGCAATTCCTGCACCACATCGTGCATTGCAAACAGTCGTTCACGAATCAATCGTGGCAGGCGTGCCAGGCTGCGGCTGATTGTCGTCCCATTGCGCGGATCGTTATGGGTGGAGTAGCTGGAGAAGATGCACTGCAGCACCTCTTCGCCCGTGACGCTGTCGACGGAACGTTGCGACTCCTCCAGAACGGCGTCAGCGCGTTGCACCAGCACACCGTGCCGGGCGTCCGCCAAGCGGAAAAGATCGCCGCGCTCCTTCAGCAAGTCGGTGACGTTGTGGGGAAACGCGCTCACGGCGTGCGAGGGCAGTGCGCCGAGTAGGGCGGACTGATGCACGCCGTGTCGCATGGGCAGCAAATCAAAGAGGTGCTGAGCCAGGACGCGGTCGTCAAAGTACGGCGTTGGATTGCGCAGGTAGGTGAGTTGCCGCTGCAGCTTCCGCTTGTGGCGCCGCTGACGCGTAGTGAGGCCGCAGCGGTTTTTCTCGCGATCCACGGCCACCTCCCCCAGCCTCTGCAAAAGCTCCTCTTCGCGCACAAAGGCCACGCCTGGCGGGATAAAGCGCGGGTGGAGGTTGAAGCGCACGAAGAGGCGTGTTGCAGCAGAGTCTGCCGTTGGTGTGAGGTGCGCCATACTGCGTGTTTTGGATGCGGCGGCAGCGTCGGCAGACGGCGAGCACTCCGTTCCATCGTCGTAGCGGACGGTGAAGAGATGCGGGGCACTGAACAGCACCTGCCACACATCGCGCCAGGACGGAAGGAGGGCGGCTGCCGCATCGTACAGCTCTTCCCCAAACAGCACCTCCTTCGCCGCCGTCGGCAGCACCCGCGCCACGCGGTACCACTCGTACGGCTGAATCGTGTAGTCAGCCAGTCGTGCGCGCACGTCACACCGACAAGGGTGCGTCGGTGCAGAAGAGCTACCATTCTCAGTGTGCACACCACCTTCGTCATTCACGACACGCTGTCCCGCAAGCGAGAGTCGAGCAGCATCGCTCAGCATCACATATCCGCTTTCCAGAACAGAGGTGCGGCACTCCTTCCTATACTGTTCGCGTTCGGCCACTTCGGACGTTTCCCCACGAGGGGCACGGTGTGCTGGATGTGCGTAGAACGTCAGCCACGAACTTTGGTGTGCGCGAAGCGCACTCATGACTCTTCTCTTTGACTCCTCCTGTGCCTCCGGGGTAGTCTCCCACAGTGCTTTAACAGGGACCAGAAAGTCCGGGAAAAGCTCCTGCAGCTCTGCCATGGCCGCCTCCGTGATAGGGAGCGCAGTCGATGCGCTGTGGGGGGTCCTGGACGCCCGAATACTAGAAGTCAAGCCACCCACTGAACCTTCAGCGCTCACCGAAGACTCCACGGACCTTCGGCGAGCCACGTGCACCAGTCCCATTTGCCTGCTTTCGTACATGTCAGGATAGCGTGAAAGAAGTTGTCGAAGTCCCCCGCAGCTGGGGCTCGATATCTGTTCCATCAGCGATGGTGGCACCTGACGTGATATTTGCTGAATCGAGGTGAAGGTAGGAGGGACGAACGCATGCACCTTCCTCGCGAGCGAAAGCTCGGGCGACGGCGTCGCCGTGGCGTGCGCAAAGCGCGCAGACGCGTCGAGCACCGCAGTATACGAAAAAGGTTGTGTGCCACCTACATGTGGACTTGCGGCAGCCGCGGCACGCCATTGCCCTCTGTGCCAAAACGATTTCAAGGTGCGGCAGACGGCAACATGTCTGCAAATGTGCGCTGTTCTCCTCATTACATTACCTCGTCGGTCGATAACATATCTTGTTTTTCTCTGATGAGAGGAAACCAACGGACGCGGCGCAGATTCGTAAGCAGACAACAGAGAAACCGTTGAATAAGCAGGCGTAGGAAAGCGAGTGAAAGCACGAGAGACACGAATTCTCGTTTTGCACAGTGCAAGCGGGCAGATGAAGCCAGCAAAAACAAAAAAGTGGCACTCAGGAAGCGTAGAAGACATTCAGCGATACTTGCTACGTATTGTGTGGGAGGGAACAGCCTCAACAACGCGCCTCTGATAGCCCGACTCTTTGTCCTCGTTGTATTTGACCGCAGTGAAAGCGAGGATCTGCACAGTGGTTTTTTTGTTTTCGTAAGCCTTTTCAACTCTCTTGAATGAAAAGCAGATGCAAAGCGGAAGTGGTCAGAAACAGATGCAATAGAGAAGAATAAAGAAGAAGAAAAGGACGCGAGACGACACAAGCTCGCAGCAATCCCAGTTGGAGATCACGGACAGCCTCTTTTCGCCGTACGCTGCACCTTGAGCCGAGTGGAGCGCTTCAATCTCAAGGGCTTCTTGAAGGCAACGGACCCCACCAGAGGCGGTTACAGTTGCACGAAACCGCCTTCTTCGGGGGAATAGAGAACACTCTGGGCGTTCACGCACAGTTCCGCCAACACACGCTCCACGTCGCCATTCGTCAGCGACTCTGCCAAGTACTGGACGGCTTTTTGTGCCGCGACAATCCAATGCACAGTTTCGTCGGCAAGTGCCGTTCTCCTCTCATCGTCACCGACGTTGGTTGAATGTTGCGGTGCCGCTGTTTCCGCCTGCTGCACTGGTCCTCCTACGTTGCGAGATAGGCGCGCAGGTTGACACGTTGTTCGCGCGAGAAATTTTGTGGCACTTTCAAGTGACGAAACAACACAGGGCGCACAGGCACGGTTGGCTGACGCACACGCAGCTTTGTTGAGTTTGTGGTGTATGCCAAGAGCAGCAGAATCTTGAGAGGACACTTGATTGCAAGGCGGGTGGGCAGCATCCTCTGATACGAGAGAACAAAGCAATGGGCTGCTTTGAAAAGTGGTCTCTTTACCGACAGGCGGGCGCCTCACTGAATCTGCGGTAGATTTGAAAGGAGGGCAAAACGCCTTCTTGGCAGATGCCGTACTGCGGTGATGCATGATTGCTGTCTCTGCTGTGTAACATTGGGTCGTGCAACTCACCTTTTCGAAAAGTGCACAGAGTTGTCCTCGCCTTTTTGTTGTTGTTGTTTTCATAAGTGGGAAATTGGGAGTTGCGAGGCAAAGCAGGGAGGAGTAGAAGTTCAGAAATGTATAAGTGAATACGCAGAAAACACCGCAAAACGATTTAATCGCCGTACCGTTGCGACTTATAAGTTCGTCAATGTAACGCAAGGAAAAGAAAAAGAAAGGAGTGTTGGCGCTATGTTCATTACTTTGCTCGAACCGATCGGCGCTTTTACTTTGCAATTTGTGACGTCCATTAACTCCCCATATTAATGTAAAGTGTGGTAACAACTTCTCTCTTCCGCTGTGTGGGTGTGATGTTTCCTTTTTTTTTTAAATGGCAGCCGCAAGCGTCTTTGGGTGGGTGTGTGAGTTTTCCTTTGTCGTTGCTGTTGGTGCTGTACGTGTCAAACAACCGTGAAGGAGTATGCATCCCTTTCTCTCCCTCTCTTTTTACAACGGACCAAAAAATGAGAAAAACGATGATCAACCGTCGTTGGAGCCGAAAACTCTGAGACGACGAAAAGGGGGGTTAAGCGCCTTTACGAAAGCGGAAGCCGTGAGCCGACTTGCGCAAACAGTAGTAGAAAGGAGTCTGTGCGCAGGTATGATCATCGACGCAGCGCAGCGGAGAGATAGGTCGACACAAGATGCGCGTCCATCACTGCTTGCTCCTGCACCTTCGCCGAAGCTGATCTTGACCGCGTTGCGTACAACGCATCTGTGAAACACCCAGCCACCTTCCTCTCAAAAAACGTGACAAAACTCTGCTTCACAGGAGACGGATCGAGCTGCGACGTAGACGGTGCCGCATCTTCCCCGGTCGTGTGTACCGCGTTCCCACAACATCCATCTTGTCCTTGGGGGTGTTCCGGACAATCTGAATTACCGGACGACTTGCGCCGGGCTGCAACGTCAATCACCGGCTCCTTCTGCTGAAAATTCGTCTCGGCTGGGTAGCGCCGCAGGAGGTCGCACGTCGGCTCCACCACCTCTATGAGGACGACGTACGCCTCCCGCGACAGCGACAACTCCGGCTGTGCCGCTTCACTGCCTCCTTCCGTCGTTGAGGTGGGCAGCGTCCCCCGAAAGCTCGGATTAGAGGTGGCGAAGCCTTTTGGTGGGGCAGGGGGAGTGCACGGCGCAAGCGGATTGGCCGGTGCCTCCACCGCAGTGGCCGTGAGCTGTCGAGGAGGACTCGCGGTGCGGATGCAGTTCTTTCTGTATCCAACGAGGATGTCGTCGATTGTGTCTTCGTAGAAGTCTTGAGTAGCCTGTAAGAGAGCCGCCATGGTACGCCGCAACTGCCTCCGCTTCTCACTTTCCTCCGCATCACCGGGCGCGGCAGCACCGTTGGCAGCAGCGGCGGTGCTTGCCTTCTCTCGTTCCATGACCTCGCACAGCATTACGCACGCCTCGAAGTCCATTAGCGCAGGCACAAGAAAGTAGCAGAAGTCAATCATCGCGGCACGGGTTTTGACGACAAGGTTGTACCCAATCTGAAGCAAGGCGGTCCGCACGGCGCGCATCCACACGCGATAGGTGTGGTCGGCGGTGTGATCTTGCAGGTGGGTGCGCTGAAGCGTGGGCAGAAGCTCCGTCATGCAGTTGGTGTGGACAACGCCGGACGCCGCAAGCGCTGACGCGGTCGTTGTGTATTCATGATTACGCTGCTGCAAAAGCTGCGGAGTGGAAAAGAGGATGCGCAGTCGGCTGTCCACAACCTCCGGTATCTGCTTGGGGTCCAAAATGTCCCACGTGATGCGCAGATACTCACGTGCGACGCACTGCGCAGCTCGCATGGCACTGTTGCACAGCACGAAGCACGCTGACTCGTAACCGTCATCCTCCGCCACGGCCGTTGCTGCGGTGTCGCTGTCGGCTTTTGACGAGGTGTTCAGCTGCGGCAGGGCTTTTTGGCACGACTTGCGAAGACGGGCAATACGAGAGCGCAGTCTCAATCTCTGATGTACATCCAGCAGTGGCCACGCCGTGTACAAAAAACACTGCTCATAGCTTTCAATTTCCCGGTGCGTCATCGTCCAAAAGGCATCACTTTTGGTGTCTCTGCTGGCAATGAGTCCAGCAAGACGCAGTGAGATCCACAACCCCAGAAAGCGGGTCCAGCGACGGCCTGCTGCCTCATCCGAGGTGTTTTCGAGATCAGCTATGTTTTTCCTGGGGTGTTCCGCCGTAGCCGCGAGCAGCCAAACCTCCAGCAAGCTCCACTCGGGTGCTGCAGGACAGAAAGTGCAGACCCTTGACGACGAGAGGCTTGGGTCTTCCTCCTCTGCTATCATCGCCTCCCAGGATGAGAAATGAGAGTGCGTATCCAGCAGACGACGGAGAGTGAGTTCATACGCTGACTCCTCCTCCCGCCCCATTTTAAACACTCTACAAAACTTCATAATGAGCTCCCTTCTTATATATATATATATATATGTATATCTGCTTTGGTGGAGTGAAACTCTGTCAGTTGTAAAAGGATGAATACACACCCCAGCTACTAATACGTCGGTTTTTTGTGGCTTTCGCTGACACCGCTTCTATATAAATATATGGTCTTGTCGGCAACTACTTCCAAAAAGATAGAGGAAAAAACGTTCGAGAGTTCAGAAACACGGGAAGTGATGAATAGAGAGAAGGGATGCAAGTACATTGCGTCGTCGAAGTTAAAATAAAAATGATAAGAAAAGAGCGTTACCGTGTCGCGCTTAAACCTCCGCTTGAGAGCCCACTTCAAAAATGCAACTACAGCCTTTAGCGAAACGACTTCAGCTTCTTTGCCTTCATCAAATTCCCGCACACTTGACGCGGAAGTGATACCTCCCCTTCCGAAGCGGGTCATCTGCCCGTCTCACCGGCTGTCCAAAGTGCACGCTGTCTGACAGGAAAAAGGAAAAACGAGTACGCAAGAAATGTTTCTTGTGTTCGCAACAGCGAGAGAAACAGAAAGTACTGTATACCTCTCGGTTGAGAAACAGCTAAAATTACGTGTTTGTATTCTGTTAAGTTCATATGAGCACTGATTGAATAGCACAAATTGGAAACGCGCACGAGGTACTAGAAATCCCAAACTCTTTAAGAAAACAAAAAAAAGGTGCCAATATCGAAGGGGAAGAAGGAACAGCAAAGCGTCAGTTTTACGAGTCCAGCCACGTCGTCTTTCCTCTCACGTGTGCGTGTGCATATCGTTCTCTCTCTTTCTGTATATACGTACGGGGGGAAGGGACAGCAGCATTGTCTGATTCTGTACGGTTATTTTGCACGCTTCCCGTCCTCGGTTTTTCTTTCGCTCTGTACCTGTTAGCTAAGCCATTTGCTTAAAAGAGCTGGGGAACCTTCGAGGTCAGGCTCACCAAACGGCGGTACACCTCAAAGTCGAACTCGTCATCCAGCATCGCGTGCTGAAAGTACGTCAAGTCACCAGAGGCGGGGTCAACGTAGCAAATGAACTCGCACACGCGGCTCACCTCCACCGCCTCGGGCACGCCCACCACCTTCACGGACTGACCAGAGGCCCCACACATGAACTCGCCGGGACCCGTGAGCTCGAAAATGATCGAGACGTACTCTCCTCGGTGGCTCTGGTACGTCTGCGCCGTCACGCGCGGCGAGACCCCTTGGAAAGGAGGCAGCTTGTTGCGCTGCGCGGACTGAGCGGGCTGAGCATACATCATTGTTATGGCGTGTATGGATGTTAAAGTGTTCTATTTGTGTGATAAAAGAAGGAAAGACGCTCGAAGCTCTGAAGCGTTTATGCGTGTGCGTGAGGGTGAAAAAGAGAGGTGTGGAAAAAAGGAAATGTGTAGGAGCCGATGTTCACGTCTGCGCTTTGTATTGAACAGCAACGATATATGAAACAGTGAGTTTGTGGGGTGTAGAAGAAAGCAGTTTGTTGTGCTCCTCGTTCTTGTTCAACCGTAATCTTTTCAGTGCTTGGAGGTGGGCGAATTGCGTCAGCAACCATTTGTAGATATCCATTCAGAAGGAAAAAAAAAACATGTTCAGAGTGGAAGCACGCATAGGAGATAGGAAAGGAGAAATATAACAACTTATGCCAGCTAGTTATCGTCACCTCACCGGAAAAACACGAACATTTGTCTTTGCGGTGCTTTCTCCGTCCTTGCAGCATCAACAAATATCAAGCAGTCGCCTTCTGCGACCTAAATCCAGCCGAAGTTCAAGGAAGCAAAAAAAGGGACCTTGTTGCACGTGCTTCGGCAACCCAACTTGACAATCATTCCTACATGTTGGGAATGGCTTGCCAGGCCCAAACAAAAAGAGACGCACGACCTGCAACGGTAGATGGAATACGATTCTCTCCTTCATCGTGCCAATGAGAGCTAATGAAACAGGAAGAGAGAGAGCAGGGCACCCACTAGTCACGCCTGAGAACTCGAGCAGGTAGAGGAAGTGAAAGCTACCAACAGACGGGAGAGTTGCACAATCAAAGCCAGGAAAAACAAAAAGCAAAGAGAGAACAAACACACACACACAAAAAGAGGGGTTTTGAAAAACTGCTGCACCTTTCGCAGACGGTGGTGCAGCAACACTACTGCACTGGCATGGTGCCTGCACCCAATCCCCTCGCATATTGATCCTGCAGCCGCTTCAGGGACAGCAAGCGTTGGGACAACAGCAGCCACCAGTGGAAGGCACGGTGGCGACGCTTGGCGGCCTCCTGCTCCTGTACCAGCTGCATCCATTCCTCGTACGCGTGGAGCAACGTCGCGCTGTCCAACTCTCTCACCACGATGCCGCTGATGAGTGTCTCCCAATGCCCGCGGCGGTGCTCATCGGTGCGGCGGCGCTCGAAGCCGGTGACCGCCAAGCCGAAGTCAAGTCGCATCCGCCGTGCGACGCGTGCGATCTGCGGCTGCGTCATGTGCGCGAGACCAGCAGGGACAGGTTTGTCCAGCAGGATGTACCACGACGTGCGGCCGTGGTGAGGAATGGTGGGCGGATCACCCGAGACTAGTGGCAGCGGCTCAAAAGGGCGTGTCTGCCAACGACCGAAGAACGTTGACGGTGCCACGAAGGGGCGGGACGCCGGAGGTGCCACAATCTTGTACGGGACTTGGTCCTCCGTGAGTAAGCTGCGTCCCTCGCGCAACCAGCCGTCGCGGGACCGCAGACTCACGATCGCGGAGCGTTTGTACACCATGTGGCCCTTGACACTGCCGACAGTCGTGTTCGCGTCTTTTGGGTAAATGCCCTCGTGACGAGCGAGATCGGACTCAATGACGTAGAGGGGGTGACGATGGAGGGCACTCAGCGTAGTCGGCACCACTTCTGAATACATCAAAGAATGCAGCTGCCTTCTCTCACGCTGCTGCTGTCGCTGTGTCAGCACCGAAGTGTGCGTGTCGTCCTCGTTGAACGTGGCTCGAATCACCTCCGATACTTCGCGACTGTCGTCCCACGCGAGTTTATCGTGCCACAAAAAACGAAGTTGCTGACACGTCCCAAGGCGACGCCCATACGCGTATGCGGTGCTGTATCTCGAAACGTACCGTGGCGTGGCATCCACTGCAACGTGCCCTGAAACGGAAAATGTGTACGGGGCTCCCCAAAGTGTAGCGCAACCTTGACAGGGGTTGACGGAGAGAAAACTTTCTCGTTCCGGCGACCAAACCTCCACCCAGAAACACGAGGTTGGCAGTTTCTTGGACTTGAGCTCCTCGTTGTTGGCGTCTCCATCGCCGGAGCGCTTCCGCTTTCCCTTTTGCGCTTCGGTGCCAACAGCGGTGCCGTCAGTTTCGCCGTTTGCCTTGCGCTTTTCACGGCCCTCAAAAATCGATAACTTCTGCAACGGCCGTCGTCTGCCAACACGCTCCACGTCATCGTCTGCCCTGTCCTCTTCGCCCGGCTCGTCTTCCTCGCCAGCGAGACGAGTTGAAGACGACGCGCCCTTCTCCTCCTTCCGCCTCGCGGCCCTCCGTGCGATGACCAAACGGCAGCGGAGACCGACCACCCTTGCGAGGGCAAGAAACAGCAGAGAGAAGTACACCGGGTGCGGCAGCTCCACAGGGGTGTTCTCGTGCACCTGACCGTGAAGCTCGGCAAACTTGGAGGAGAGGTACTTTGGGACTAAGCCAACCGACCAATCAGAGAAGTCTTGCTCCGCAGGAGCCGGGGCTGCGGCTGGATCGAGGGCGTCACTAGGAGTCACGGCAGATACTGATGGAGAAGCATCGGCGCCTGGTGCTGGCACCGCAAGAGCCGCTGCTAACTTGAAATACCTATTTATCGTGTCAAGGAGCGTCTTGACAGCGCTAGAGGTCTTGCTCTGCACGGTGTCCTTCCCGCAGCTCACCCACGCAGGAGCAAGAGCCAGCTTGCGAAACTGCGGCTGCGTCGACTCCGCCACCAGCGCTTTTGCATCCAAGACAGCCTTAAGAAAAACATACCGTGCGTCCGCCTTTACGTGGTTTCGCTCGATGCGTGCACGCTTCCGTTCACCGCCACCGGCAGCTAGATGGAGGCGCAAAAGCATCTTGACAAATTTCGGGTGAGACGATTCACGCCACATAAGACGGGCGCGGAGGAGCACCGCGAGTATTTCGAAAAGTGACTCGCACACGCGTTGTATACGCTCGGAGCGTCGTTGCGCGGCCAGCAAGTCGCGTTGCTCCATCATCGCCTCGTACGCAGGATCACGTTGCCGCCACGTGCCGGACGAGCGCGGCTGGCCCACAAGCGGCAGCTGAGCACCATCCATGATTGGTGCATCGTCTGGAACGTCCGCGTCCACGTTGATCAACTCCGCCTTGACGTAGTTGATGGTGTCCTCAGTGCTTGGTGCTGCCGATGATGTCATTCCTTCTGACTTTACCGCTGGCGACCCGCGGCCCGATTCGGCTTTGACGGCGCCGCCGTTTTCATCGTATGCCACATCTGACTTTACTACAGTTGTGTCATTGTCCATTTCCTGCTTCTTTACCGTTGTAGGAACTTGTGGCAGATCAACCTCGTCCCATTCATCTGCGTCTGCGTCTACATTTTCCAAATTAGCTGCAGGAGAGGACACCTCCAATTCCGTTGTGGGTGCGCGTGCGCTTGCGGAGGTAACCATGGCCAGCTTGCGTCGCGTGCCTCGACCGCCTTCCGCAGCCGGGACACGTTGGCGTTTTGAAGCATTGCGCAAGTAGCCATCCACACTAGCAGTGGCGACCAACGCAACCGATTTCGATCCTTTGGGGGCGTTAGAGCTCATATATGAACTGTTTCGTTCCTCCGTTTTGGTTTTTTGACCGGGGCACCTTTTAGTCGCTTGCTAGTCCGAAACAGATAATGGAACGGTTCGTTATTGTTTGTGTGTATATTGGGGAAACAGAGCTGAGCTCTCCTTTTGGTTTTCTGCTGTTGGACTATTCAACCAACCTAAACAAGAAAATAGAAAAAATCCGCTGAGAGTTCGACGATGAAATAGCCCTAATTATATATGATTATGTAATCAGAGCAGAGAAAAAGTCTTGAAGTTTTCAAACTTGTAAACTGTACATATCGGTAGCGTGTTCCACGGTGACCTAGTAACCTTGACGTAATCGCATGTTTTCTTTCTGGCCAAAATATAATTCGTTTTCCCAGCTAACAGCAGCGGCTAGCTTGGATATCAAACAAGAAAAAAGACAAGGAAACAAGGGAAAAGTGGGTTGAAAGTAAAAGAGCCGAACTCTAAGTTTTGCATTAAAGGAACAAAAAATGCATTCAGATGGCGCAGTTCAGAGTGCTTTCTTTCGAAGATAAGTAAACAAACCTCCGTTAACATTGAAAAGCACATGAAACGTTCATGTTTCGACGGAGAAAAATATGTGACTACTAGAGGCTACTTAATTTTCTACATATTTCTCTTTTTTTTTCCAGAGCTGCGTTGATTTTTCTTCTTTGTGTCAGATTAGAAGCAATTGTGAACAGTTTGTGACAGTAAAAATATGTTACAAGAATATGATTTTAACAGAAAAAACTCACTTCCACATCGCAAGCTTGTTAGCGTTGTGGCCTCTTTTCTGAATGTCCAAAATGACTTCAGAAACAGCGGCGTAAAACTCCAACTCGTTGTCACCAAACTGATACAACCAGCCTTTCGTCAGGCTGTCGTCCAAGAGCATCACGTCCATCCCCCGCATCGACACATGTTCACATGGGTCAACAGAAACCCCAATGTGCTCAATTTCGTAATCTGGATCGCCAGACGGGTCCGCTTCCTTTTTCACATCGTTGCCGTCATCTTTCCAGCTGTCTTGGGTTGCCCCAGGGATAAACTGGGCCTCGCCGCTACGATTGAAGCGGCCACCGCCCTCCGCGCTCTGCTTGCCGTCTACCACGTCGATATTGCGCATCTTTGCTTGCTCAGCTGATTCTCGCGCTTTATCGGCAGTTGCCATCCACCGGCGTTTAGATTCAAGCGTTTTCTCAGAAAAGGGATCCAGCAGCGTCACATCGCGAGAGCGGTCATTCGCGCTGCAACGATACTCGGCGTCTTTGCGTTTCCTGAACTTACCTGGTTGACGCCAGTTGTAGTCTAAGAGAAGATCAAAGTATTCCCCACCAAAAACGTACGGATCCATCGTTGTCTTCTGAATCGTATTCGGTAAATGAAACTCATCGTCGCTCGGGCCGACAGTTCCGGGTCGCCGTCGCATCTTAGGCTTCACCTCTTGCTGCGTGTGGAACTGTGCAGCGTCGTGAAAACCAATACAACGATCGCAACCAATTAAGGCAACTAGTTGCTCCAGTGAAAATCCTTGGCGTGACAAAACTCGTTTCATGTTTAAGACGTCTCTATCATTCTCATTGATCAACGCGGGAGGAAACGCAAGCAACGTTTTCTTCGTCATGAAGTCCGGTGGATCTTCACGTCCGCGATACGGGATAACATTCGGTCCACCTAATCGTGCCATAGCTTTGGCGGTGAACATCGCCCAAAGGTCGGGAAACGTGTAATTCGGTTGCTCTTTGTTGAGTTCCCAGATAAAATCGACAATTTCTTCTGCTTCCAGCTTGTATTCCTCCGGTGCCACAATTGGGCAGCCGAAGGGTGTTTGCGCGTTGCTGAGTGCATGATGCAGCATCATGCGCACCGCAATAACAGCCAAATCAGGCCGCGAAAACAATTTTTGATCAATTGCTTCTTTAATCCGTAGTTCGTTGCCCGAGGGACGCCATGTTTGATACCAACGGTTGAGGAAATAGAAGGTTGCGCTCGACACATTCACGAAAACGAGCAGCCCAAACAAAATTGCTGCTGTTTCCCACCATGGACGCTGCCGCGCCAAACGGTGCAAATCACGTTCTTTGTATCCCCACCACAGCAGATACCGCGGGGTGCATCGAAAAGCACCACTTCCACGCCGCCTTATTAAGCTAGTTCGTAGCATTCAAACAACACTAAGAGAAAAAAAAAAGGAAAACGCTAATAAATGCGTCTGAAAAGGAGATAATTTGTGCCACTTTAAATTTCTACCTCGTGGTAGAAAAGATGAGGTAGGTCGAGTACTCTCTGTACAGTCTGTGAAATGTTCTATACTAACCTTTCAGGTACAAAGTGAAATTTAATTAAGAGCACAGAGAAAGAAAGAAGAGAACGCGAGATGGCAGCAGGCGAAAACAAAAACGATCCGTCACGACGTCGATGAAGCGCGGTTGCACAACTTCTGTGAACCTTACCTGAGTGGTCTTTTTTTAGATTTATTTTTCGACAGTCAGCAGCAGCAATTTTTTTTTCTTTCGAAAAGAAAGGGAGATGCAAGTTAGCGATATATGTTACACTTCGTTGAATGCATTGCAACTGCAATTCAACGTTCTGTGGCTGTTCAGGAGCAACCAAAAAAAAAAAGTTACCCTTCTTTGTACGTGTAAAGACTGTGATACAAACAAATGCTGTTTCCATAACATAAATCAATACATGCGTGTAGCATACATTCATTTAAATACGGAAATCTGTGATCAGTTCCATTCGCTGTACAAACTGTATTTGTAATTTGGATGGACAGAGGAAAAACGGAAAGCAAAGCTAACAATAAATCGTTTAAGAAATGATGAATTCCTTGAAAGAAATTTAGGTTTATCGCTAACAATTAGGGAAACAGATAAATATTCTGTCGTACACAAAAAATATTTTATGCTGTATCGTTACTGAAATCAACTGAGCAGACAAGCAAAATAAACTGATCTTCATCGTGTTGAAAAGAGTGGCACCTCTTTCGGATACGAAGCTGTCATTACGACTAGAGGTCTACTATTGACATCTATCCGAAACGATGCACGTTTTACCATTTCCGACAAGTTTTTCTGCGGCGAGACCTCCTGGATACGGACACAATCATTTTTAAGCACGAGCTCATCCATTGCAGTGATCCATTGAACGGGGTGAGCAAGCTGACCCGCCAGCAGCGCTGCTGTGATCTCCCGCACGCTTCCTTGATCTACACCATCCTTGAAAGTGTCAGCAACGAGAGAGCTTTCGTAACGTCCGTTGTGACGGATCTCACCGACATTAAATTGCTGAATTGCTTTTAGGGCTTCCTCTTGAAAAAAACTGTTAAAGGGGTCAAATGTTCGACCAGTCAAATTCGTCACCCATAACGGAAATTTGTGGTCGTCGCGGTTAAGAGTGCCTTTGGCAGAGATGGAAAACAGATCACGAAGAATAGCCTCATCGGGCAAGGCCGAACGCACAACAGGGAGAAACTGATCCATTGCCTGCCGCAAGCGGCTGGAATGAAACGGCACTTCCACAGTCAACGGAATAAACCAGGTTTTCCGTTTCAAACCACTTCGGCCGTCCTCCTGCAGCGTAAGGTGCGTCAATTCCTCCAGCGACGGCGTGTAACCGTCGTCCGCACCTTTTAAGAACTTCCGAAAAGTCGCTCGTGCCCCGTACTTTTTCATTGCGGCAGTTGCAAAATCCGTGTCGTTAATTATATTCGGATCCTTTGCAACACCGTCCTTTTCGTCGGTTTTGACCGCTATCAGAGCTTGACCAACAATACTCTCAAAATCTTCTGCACCCTCGCAGTTCGCGCGAAACTGTGGGTCGAGGCACTTGCCGAGAACGGCCAGACCCACCAAATCACCAGCGACGACGTACTGTTGGTGGCGCAGATTAAGGTTGCAAACCTCAACGAAAGAAGACGTATGCGCTAAGGCTTTCGCTACAAGCTCCACTAGATTGAAAAATATTTTGTCCGCGGTTTCGCTGTCTTTTTCCAACTGTGCACGTTGCGGATTGCAAGCGTAAAGCTTCCAGTCTCCCCGGCGTACACCTTTGCAGGCTTCCTCCATGAGAAGACCTCGCTTAAACGTCAAGTCAACAGCGGTTTCTGGCGAAAACACACCGAGCGCACCTAACGCTGTAAATTCGCCTAAACTGTGACCAGCAACGCAGTTAATCTGCTGATTGATAATTTGGGGAAAATCCTGCTGCAATTTTGTGAACGCCACTAATTGCGCTGCGAGGACACAAGGCTGCGTGAAAAACGTGTACTGCAGCACACCTTCTGCGTGCGTGATTGCGTGGGTTCTTGGGGTCGATTCTTTTGCGTTCAAAAGCTCCGTACACGGACGCCCGCACACTTCTTCGACGTGGAAAGCGTCTGCTCGTGTCAATACTTTTTTTGGATTCTCTTGGATAATGTCCTGCAATGAAATTCCGTAGTTGCACATCATGCGCTGCTTCATGCGATCCCACACCTCTGCTGCGGCGGAGCTGCTCAGCAACGGCATGCACATGCCCTTGCAGTGGGTGCCTTGACCCGAAAATATGAGGGCATTTTTCATCTCTCCTTGGGGTTTGATATAAAATTTCTGGTTGAGGAAGATCGGATGAAGAGAAAGGAAGGAGAGTAATTGTTTCATAGTAATAACGAGGAGTGTTTCTGCATTGCGGTTTTTTTGAGGCCAGCAGGGGGTCGCGGAGTCAGTGCCGTGGGTAAAAAAAAAAAAGGTATGAATTGCGGCTCGAGACGATTTGAGCACCTTTGCTTTTGTCCTTTTCCTTCTTTTTTTGCCCCGCGCCCGTAGGCCGATCCGGGAATCGTTGGGCGGCGGGGGGCCGCG